TTTCTCTCTCTCTCTTCTCTCTCTCTCTCTCTCTCTCTCTCTCTCTCTCTTCTCACGAATATTAGTGCAATAGGTAAGCCTTCTAGCCGAAGTCCAGAAGATAGACAGACACCTTCACTCTCGCTGACGCGTCGTGTTTCCCTTTACACTTATCTCGTGCCCGGAGTCGCTTGCGCAGAGCAGATGTGAGCTGGCCCCGATCCGACCCGATGATATCCCGTCACCCGTCACGTGCGTACCTACCGATTCGGTGTGATGTTGTGCATCGTTGTCGTTGTCGTTGTCGTTGTCGTTGTCGTTGTCGTTGTCGTTGTCATTGCGGGTCAGATGGGGTTGGTAGGTAGGTAGGTAGGTACCTAGGTAGGTACTGGTGTGTGTGTGTGTGTGTGTGTGTGTGTGTGTGGACGACGGACGCGGTTGTAGGTGTAAGCATAAGCATAAGTTCTGCCAGAGCCCAGCCAGTCTTGCTTGGTCTGTCTAGGTAGGTAGGTACCTAGGTCTGGATCTAGGTCTAGGTCTGGGTCTCGTTCAACACAACAGCGTCGGCTAGTCTACCGGTAGGTAGTCTAGTCTAGTCTAGTCTACTCGATCTCCGAAGCTTCCCTCAGGATGAGAGACGTACGGTAGGTGCTATATCTTCGACAGGACGGGTAGCAATCATCAGTCAGTCATCCTAATCCCGCGACCCGCGTCCCGCCCTTGCTTGGAGTGAGTGGTAGGTAGGTACCAGTAGCTACCGTACATACATACATATATACCGGTACCTACATACACAGTCAGTCAGTCACAGTTCCCCAGGAAGTAATAGTCCCCAAGAAACCAATATCGCGAGGGAAAATGGCGAAAAAAAAAAGAAAAAAAAAAAAGACCTCCGCGAGAGACACGGCATCGATACCGGTACACAGATACCTACCTATACCTATACCTATACCAACCCCAAGTCTCAAACTCCACGTACCGTAGATAGAGCCTCTCTCTACAGTACCAGTAACCTTACGTACGTAAGCAAGCAAGCAAGAGGCTAAGCCGCCCAAACCGGACCTGAAAAAAAAAAAAAAAAAAAAAAAAAAAGGCATGCTCTACCGGTATAACCGTATATTCGATATTCGAATATTCGAATATTCGATATACCTACATCCCTCCGCACCAAAGACGAAGACGAAGAGGGAAACGATATCCTAGTATCCTAGATAGATGCGAGATAAGGACGACGTAGAGAGAGAGAGGGAGAGAGAGAGGGAGAGGGAGGGAGAGAGGGAGGGAGAGAGGGAGGGAGAGAGGGAAGAAGGGACCTTGTAAATTGCTACGGAGTAAGGAAAGAGTTATACTATAGGAAGGAAACCTTGCGCTGGGGACGGAGGAGAGAGAGAGAGAGAGGCGTGCAGAAGGGAGGAGCGATACGTGTTTGTTTGGGGAGGTTGTACCGTCAGCGTCGAATCGATAGCAGCTGGACCGCGAGCTGGGTGCAACGCTGCCGCTTCCTTCGTGCGGAGCTGCCTGAGTAGGACGGGCGTTGCTGACGTACCTCCGTAGGGAGGTGGGAAAAGGCGTAAGTGAGGAAATGGGATATATCGTTGACTTACAAAGTGCGCTCTGGCTCACTTCTCTCTCTCTCTATTTATCTATCTATCTAAACCTTGCTGACAGCCGCAGCTCGCTCGCTCGAGAAAGGAGCGCAGAGCACCGTGGGAGATTCGGAAAATTCATCAAATCAAAAACGCTGGTGAGAAGAACGTCGATGCAAACCGCTTCTTGCTGCTCTCTATCTTCCTCCCTCCCAGCCTCCCGCCGCTCCAGAAAAACCATGCCACATCTAGCGACCGCAATGCCCATGTGCCCACCCCAGGCAACAGATTCTAAGCCTTGGGTACATTCGGCGTGTCGGCCGCCACCTCCGCCGCAGGGTGGTGGTGGTGGTGTCCCCCCTCCTTCGCCTCCGTCTTCTTGTCCTTGGCCTTGGTAGATTTCTTGTGCTCCTTCTTAGCGGCTGCTTCGGCGACCAGTTGCTCAAAGGCCATGTAGTCGCCCTCTTCTTCAGGGTTGCGTTGGGCCTGGTTCTGCTGTTAGTAACCATAGTTCCCCAGAACGTGGCGTAGAAGAAAGGATAGGTAGTTGTACAAAGAATAACCAGAGGGGAACAAAGCATACCTTCTGATAAATCTCCCCCGAGATTACCAACGCCTGCGCGCGCTCCAGTCTCTTCGCCATCGGAACATTCTTGTCATTCAGGATCGCATCGCAGACATCCCGCAGCACGCTCTGGATCTCGAACTTGCTGCCGCGCCACGCAGCGTTCAGAATCTTGCCTGTCACCCGACGCTCGTACTCGATCTTCTTCTCGTCAGTCCAGTCTTCGCCGCCCTTCTCCTCCATCTTGGCCATCTCCTCCATCGTCATCTGCGCATCGATCGCACTGGAGATCGTGTTCCACGTCTCCTTGGCCAGCGTGCCCTTATCCTTTATCCGCGAGAAGAAACCTTGGATGCCAAACAGCTTTTGCGATTTCAGCAGCGCGGTGGCTTTTTGCAGATACGTCGTCCCAATAGCATGTAGAATATCAACGCCGAAAGACTCCATCTTCAAGTTCTCGACTTCCAGACGGGTCTTGTCTTGGAAGGCTCTTGTGACATCGGGCCCTTTGTCTGTCTCGGTCCAGATGCTGATTCGAGTGATGAGCTTCTTGGCCAGGGTCTCAACCCGCTCCTTTCGCACTTTGGCACGCTCCGCCTCATAGGCTGCAAGCTCCTCGCGCTGTGCTTTGGACAACCCGCCCTTCTTCTTTTCCTTCTTCCTCAGCTCCTGCTCCTCCGCCGACAAGCCCGCAGCAGACATCTGGGCGTCCTCCTCCGTCTTATCCATAATCGCCTGTCTGATCGGAATGCCCTGCGGTCTGCGCGGGGTCGAGCTCCCGGACGCAGCCGGGCCCACACCAGGCTTCGAAGCCGCCTCAGGGATCACCGTACTGGCCGTAGAGAGATTCGCATCCGTCGTCTCTGCGACACTAGGAGCCGGTACCTTCGACGCAGAGCCCTGACCACCGCTGGCCGCCGCCGCCGCTTTCGCCTTCTCTTCCGCCAGACTAGCTTTCTTCGCCTCCGCCTCGCCCGGGAACTCTTCCTCTTCCTCCTCCGCGCCCTCGTGCATCGTGATATCCATCGTCTTGGTCAAGTCCTTCATGAGCGAGATCTCGCCGATCAGATCCACGAACGCCTCACCGCCGAAGATAGTGCCGAAGAACTCGGCGGGGTCGGCGAAGCCATCTGACGGGAGGGCCTGATCCTTTCCGAACTTGTCGTACTGCTTGCGAAGGTCTTCCTTGCTGAGAACTTGGTAGGCTTCGCCGATGGCTTGAAACTTCTCGTGCGCGGTGTCGTCGCCAGGGTTCTTGTCTGCGGCTCGTTAGATGTTGGAGGGAGGAGAGAGATCGAGGGAGGGGTTCACCTGGGTGTGTGATGATGGCGAGTTTGCGATAGGCCTTCTTGATTTCCAGCTCTGTCGCGTCGGGCTTGACGCCGAGGACGTCGTAGTATGTAGTGTCTGCGACCATCTTGTCTGCTGTGCCGTGAAGCAAGTGGGAGGTGGACGGGTCGAGGTTGTTGTGGTGGTGGTGATTTGTTCTGCCCGCGTTGGGTGCCGAGAGAAATCAAGATGGAGGGGCACCAGAGAGGGTGAACGTCACCGCCCGATTTTTTTTTGATTTCCTTTAGATGGGTGCGAAGAGGAGGATGAGGGATGCAATTTCTTTACGTGGATTTATGAGGAATCCCAAGTCTCTTATTCACCCGCGCCTACTGGCCATGGCTCACTCGTTCGTCATGCAAGTCGCCGCAGCAAGTCCAGTTGCCGTTGCCGTTGCCGCCACCGCCTCGTCAACAGTCAGACAGGGTTCATGGGTCAAGCTTCGTATATATTGATTCAGAGCCAACGCATTTGATTTCTTTATTTTATCTAAGTAGCAATTTCACGGCATTAACCGGATCTTGGGAATCGTGCGCGCCAATCCAATAGCCTGACATTTATTTCACCCCAGCAGCGGCCATGCGTTGAAAGCAGCCCTTGTACGCCTCGTGGATCTCGGGCACCTTGAAGTCGTACTCGGCGAGCTTCTTGACCAGCTTGGTGGTGTCCAACTCGCAGTTGGAACGGCCGGCCTTGATGACCTTGGCCTGCTCTTCCAGACTAAAGTTCTTCCAGGTGAAGTCGGGGCGGACGTACTGCTTGAAGAGAGCGAGGACCTCGTTGTGAGAGATGGCACCTGGGTTGGTGAAGTTGTAGATCCCAAGCTCCTTGTGCTCGGCGAGGAGGATGGAGGCCGGGAGGAGATCGTGGAGAATGGTGTTGGAGTTGGGGATGTCGACCACTCGGTCGTACTTGGCGATCTTGGTGACGAAGTTGCGGGGGTGGAGGTCATCAGAGACGGGCATGCGGAGTCGCAGAATGAGCACGTTCGAGTAGTGCTTCATGATCTATTCCGAGTCAGCTTCTGTCCCAGCTTCAGGGGAAGTCGTACGGACCTCCTCGACGTGGGCCTTGGTCTCGGAGTAGAAGGAGCCAGCAAAGTTGGCCTTGTCAGTCTCGGTGAATCCTGGGCCGCCAATGGGGTGGGCGTCATTGTAGACGTAGATGCAACCGGTGGCAAAGACGGTAACGTGGATGCCCTTCTCGTAGGCGCAGTCGGCCAAGTTAATGGTACCGATCACGTTGTTTCTGATGGTCTCCTCCTTGTGGTCCTCGCACCAGTCGACGTTGGGCCGGCCGGTGGACCCCGCAGCGTTGAGAATGTGGGTTGGCTTGTACTTCTCGATCTCGGCGATGACAGCTTCGCGGTTCTGCATGCGGACGGTGGTGGTGAAGACCTTCTTTCCTGTGTCCTGGGTCAGAAAATTTGCAGCAGAGGAGCAGAGGAGCAGAGGAGCAGAGGAGCAGAGGAGCAGAGGTGCAGAGGTGCAGAGCAATCCGAGCCGGGTGGGGAGCTTTGCTTACCCTGGCTTTCCAGGAGGGTCTTCAAGTGGCCCGCCACCCATCCCTCACCACCCCAGATGAGGAAGACGTTCTCGGACGACATGATGGAGGTCGAGTGCAGGCAGAGTGCAGATGTGCGAGGATACGGAGGAGGAGTGTGTGTTGGTGTGGGTGCAGAGGTGCAGAGGTGCAGAGGTGCAGAGGTGCAGAGGTGAAGAGGTGAAGAGGTGGAGGGGTAGAGGGAGAATGGCGGAGAGGGGAGGAAAGCGTCGAGGTTTATATCGGTGAGGAAGAAGTACAAAGTACAGGTGAGCTGGATGGAGGGGCGAAGCGACTACCGGTACTAGGATTTGTACTGCAGTCTGCAAAGCAAGGGACCTGGGACCTAGGACCTAGGACCTTGGACCTTGGACCTTGGACCTTGGACCTTGGACCTTAGGCGGCTAAATTGATATTGCACAAAGTGCTTCACAGTTACGAGGTTACGAGGTTACGAGATAATGAATCTGATTTGATTCGAAATTGGATCAGTCAGCCTCTATAGACTGTAGCACGCACGCATGGTGTTGTTCTCTTGCTCCGCCAGCACTTTTTTATCGCTTGATCTCGATAAGTGATAGATAGGTCGTGATAGGGTCGTGGGGTCGAGGGGTCAAGGGTCGAAGAGCGAGGGGTCGAGGGGTCGAGGGTCGAGGGGTCAAACAGCTCAACCAGTCAAGGGGTTGTTGCTCCGTCAATTCTGTACTGTACTTACTGTATTATGTAAGGATTTTGCAGGGGTCCTCCGTCGAAGAAGGGGGTGGGGCATCCCCGCCAGCTGCACGACGACGAGTGCAAATTCCAGTGCGAGCGTGTAAGAAGTGATTGCCATTGCTAATATCCAGTCGTGTCTCGAATAATACTACCTACTACGTGTACCCGTACTGTACATTATCAAGCGAGCCTTGATCCACAATACCTACCGATCCTCATGTTACAGCCACTCACAGTCGTGCAACCTCGGCCGCCGCCTTATTAACGATATCGGTACTCGACGATTGACAGCGGTACCTACATAGCTTGAGTAGACTCGGGTTGGCTGTGACTTGAAGGACTTGAGTCTTGATTCCAGACTCCTGGAAGGCTGGAAGGGCGTAAAAGTGGCTCCCTCCGTACTACGGACCGTTCTCTCCGTCCGGACCTCGCCGTTCCTCGCTCCGGACCACGAAGCATTTCTGTGCTTGGCGATCCGTGACTTTGGTATCATTTCGCTTCTTCAATCCATCCCATCCATCCATCCATCCACCATCCACCATCCACCTTCCATCCATCCACTCAAACAACGCGACGCGACTTCACTCCCCTCCCCTCTGGCCTACACTATCCACACCAAAAGCCTCGATAGATGCGACGAAAGTCAGACCCGGGCTCTCCTCTCCATGAACCATCCATCTCTCTTCTAAACAACCAACCCCGCCTGTCGAGAGCTTTTACCACCTGTCTACCGGTACCTCTCTCTGTCACAACAACACTCTGCAGCCACACCTCAATCCCCTGTTGGGAGTGCAGGCGCATCGCCATCACATGATCATGTCGGAATCCAAGAATGAACGTTCAGAGATTTCAGAGAATAGCATTCCTCTCCTCGATGTCGAAGCCCAGCGGGGGCCCAATGACGGGGGCAAGCAATTCGACGCCGAGCCCGTGATCATCTCAGCTCCCCCACCCGCCGTCACAGCGGGAGCTCGCAAGAAGTTTCTGACATGGACCGCCATCAACATGCTGGCCACCATTGGCATTGTGTTTACCAACAAGGCCATCTTCGATGATCCGAACTTCAAGCTGATGCAGACGAGCTTTGCCTCTTTCCATTTCATCTGTACGGGCTTGACGCTATGGGTGGTCTCCAGGCCGAGCATTGGGGCCTTCGTACCGAAACGGGCTGGCTTCGTGGAGATGCTTCCGGTAAGGTCACACGTCAAGACCCCATTTGACACATCTATTCCTAACACCAACCTCTAGCTGGCATTCTCCATGTGCCTCAACGTTGTCATCCCAAATCTCTCCCTCGCCTTTTCTACCGTAACAGTCTACCAACTCTGCCGCGTCCTCCTCACCCCCATGACCGCCATCATCAACTACGTCTTCTTCTCCGCCACCATCCCGCGCAACGCCGTGCTCGCCCTGATCCCCGTCTGTATCGGCGTAGGGATCACCTCTTAGTAAGTAAAGCCTACCATTCCTTTTGAGGGGAGAAGTTTCAATATCCCCTAGGATCCGCAGCTCAGATCAGCTGGGGGGGGGGGGGGGAAAAAAAGAGGGACGGAAGAGAAAGGAACACCCTCTCCCGAGTTCCAAAACTCTACTCCACAGGTTCCTCTAAGCTGACAACGGCGAAAAGCTACGACACGAAGCCTAGCGACTCGGACGCCGTGAAAACAACCTCAAGTATCGGCCTCTTCTTCGCCCTGTCGGGTGTCCTGGCTTCTTCAGCCTACACCGTGCTCATCGGCGCATACCACAAGAAGCTCGCCATGTCCTCATCGCAGCTCCTGCTCAACCAGGCCCCCATCTCGTCCGCCATGCTCATGTTCGCGGTGCCTATCGTGGACAAGGTCCCCGTGCTGGGCGATGTCCCGCAGTACCGCTGGATGATGATCCTGATGTCCGGCGGCTTCGCGGCCCTCATCAACATCTCCCAGTTCTTCATCATTGCGGGGAGCGGGCCGGTGAGCAGTACGGTGGTTGGCCACTTAAAGACGGTAAGTATTGTGAGTATCGGGTGGGCGCTGAGCGGGCGCGGCTTGACGGATAAGAGTGCGCTGGGGATTGTGATTACTGTGGCGGGGATTGTGATGTGAGTATTCCATACCTCTATCCACCAACTTGTTTCTCCCTCCCTCTCCATCCATATGCCCCCCCCCCTCTCTTTTTACTTTCTATCGAAACAAAATTGACTAACATCTGGGGCAGATACTCGAACATTATGCTGAGTCGCGCGAGGAAGTAAACGGTAGCTTCCGAGGGAGCATATCGATAAACTTGTAAACTTGTAGCATCAGCGGCCATCTGGTCCATGTCGTACCAAAAGCTTCTCGTCCTTGTTATCCCTCTCCCGCCCACCACTAGCACGTCATTTCTCGCTCATTGCTTCTAGCGCTTGTGTGTGTTGTTTACGGTGTCTTGGTATCTTTCCCACTTAGTTTAACTTGTCACATGCTGAAAGATAGATCGCCTCAGGGAGCGGAGCAACAGCCTCTCTCGAAACACTTTTTTTTTTCCCATTACATAGCCTCGAAATTTTCTCAATGTCTCCCTTGAGTTGATCGTTCCATCTTCATTTTTTTCATTTTTGACTTCCCGTTCGAGTTTCGTATGATGCTATGCATGTACATAAAAAAGGCCTCATCAGTGCTGCGAGAGCTGACTATATAATGTAGCGCCGCCGAGCGCGAGCATGATACCCAGCGCATCTTTCACTGTGAGCAACCGCCCTTCACTTACCCAGCCGTAGGTGAGGATGATGATTGTTTTGACGCTGTGTGTTTCCTGTCAGTCCTCTTTCCTTCTCGTACAGAACACCACCGGGTTTATCTCCGTTCGGGAAAGCTTCAAAACTTACTTGGAAGCCACATTGAACGTCAACGCGCTCATCCGCCCGATGATCAAGAACTGGCTCAGGTTCAGCGCCGCGGCCGCCAGGCCACTAAAAAAGAGTGCCGTCAGCGTATCACTCGGGATCGCCTTCAGATCCGGCATCGTGTCTATCCAGGGCGCGACGAAGCACAGCAGCAGCACTGAGATCGGGGCCTGGTTCAGCAGCAGCTGTGGTGACGAGACTTTGAAGTCCGCCATCTTCTTCCCGATCCAGACTTGGTAGAAGGCTGTGATGGTGAAGGCGGCGACGGCGATTGCGGCACCGAGCGATGTCGTGTCGGCTGCTCCTGTGTTGGTGAGGCCGACGCCGATGCAGACGGAGGCTAGGGCAGCAACGGTGAGGCCCGTGACGGTCTTGCCGAGGAAGAAGTACTGGAGGATGGCGACGCAGGGGGTGGTCATGATTTTGGCGAGTCTGGGTGAAATGGTCAGCTAGGAGATGCGGCCATCGAGCGCGCCCGGGGGAGGAGGGAAAGAGGTATCTGAGGCAGGAAGGGAAACTGGGGCCGTACTGGTAGAAACCGATGGAGTTGTATGCCAAACTCAGGTTGCCCAAGATGAGAAAGCCGGCGAAGAAGCTGCAGAGGGGGATCATCTGGAGGAAGGGCAAGCGCACTGGCACGAAGAGGTTGAAGGGGGCTCGGGAGGCGATCCCGAGAACGATGGTTGTGCAAGTAAAGTGCCACATGGCGAAGGATATTTGCATCAGCTTCAATTGCGGGTCCTTGAATATCCTGTGAAGAGGTTGGTTAGTCGCTTGTTCTCTACCAAGTCATAGTCTACAATCCTGGCCTTTTTGACCTGGCCGTCCGGGCTCTTGATCTGCTTAGATCCTCTATGCTTTCCGCCCA